ACGTTGCGTTAAGTGTGCTGAAAACCACGAAGGCAGAGACTGCAAAAAGACAACCGATACGCCAGAACTACATGGAAGCGCATAGGGCAAGTTATAGGGGATGTAAAATGTTCCCGAGGCCGAGGACAACAGCATGGAACAGACCCAGAGAAGCCGAAAGACAGAGACCTAAACAGTAGCCGACGGCTGAAAAGACGACCCCACAAAAAAGGAAACAGACATCGGCAACGAACTAATCAAAGTTTCAAGTAAACTAACGACAGAACAGCAAAAGATCGCACAAGCGGTCTTAGCTGCACTAATTCAAGCACCCGGGAGACAGTAATGCCTGCACGAATCCCGGAGCAACTAAACGTAGGATCGTGGAATATAAATGGATCCACAGACAGGCAAAATGAGCTACCGGAGCTGCTATCGCGTGTAGACATAGATGTCATGGCACCTTCAGGAGACAAGGTTAAGGAGCGAAAAGAGCTACCGTATCCCAAGATACAACATATATAGGACAGACAGGCCAGGGGGCGCGGCAGCTAAGAATATCGTCGGTATACCTGCCACCGCAAGGTATAAGACTAGAAAGAACATACATGGCAGATATGTTCCCAGACCACCATCCAACAGTTGCCATCGGTGACTTCAACGCCAAGTCGCGAGACTGGAACTGTAAGTATGGAAATAGGAGAGGCAGAGATCTAGTCAGAATACTAGAAGAATTTGAGGACATCGCGGTAGTAGCACAGAACACACCAACGCACTACCCACGAGAAGACCATTTTTGACATCGCACTAGTGCAGAACATCGATACTACGGAGATGGAGGTACTAGATGAAGGTTCGTCAGACCACAACCCCATCCTATTTACAATAGGAAGAGGTGAAGTACAAACAGACAACCCAACAAAGCGGGCCATCGACTGGATGAGATTCTAGCGCGCCATACTTGATGCGATGGGAGATATACCACGCATCGAATCAAAAACGCATCGGGAGAACGCCACACACCAGCTGCAGCAGGCGTTCATTCAAACGATGGAAAGAAGCGCACGAGAAGTCCCAGCCCTGCGCTTCAACTCCCAAGAGCATCTCCCACCAGAAACGATGGAGCCGATCAGAATAAGAAGACGCCTGAAAAGACGATATCAAACGACATGTGCACCTATGGACAAAAGATGCATGCAAAGAGCCAATAGATTACTCAGAGACGAACTGAGAGCGATCCGAAGTAGACAATGGACTACCCGTCTGGAATAATTGAATACTGATGACCAGTCTGCATGGAGAATGCAGAAAGTACTCAAGAAGACTGACCTGGAAAAAGCGGAAGCGTTTGCAGAAAACTTCGAAAGGCAGTGCAGAGAGAACGACGCCCCGTTCACAGAAGAGGTAGAAGAAATTGAGACGCAGGTGGAAAGAACGATACGAAGAATAAGACAAAGAACGAACAATGCGCCACCCCTGGCCCCGACATCTCCCGAGGAAGTGAAAGACATCCTAAGATGTCTATCCACTCGAAAAGCCACAGGCCCGGACCGAATAACAAACCGGGTACTGAAAGTTCTACTGCGCAAAGGTATAGCAGTCATAACCAACATCATAAATGCTATACTCAGATTGCAGCACTTCCCGTACCCGTTCAAAGAGGCAACGGTTATCCACATACCGAAGCCAAAAAAGAACCACCTATTCCCAGATAATCACAGGCTAATCAGCTTACTACCTTCCATAAGCAAAGTGGCGGAGCGTGTCACCTTGAAGAGACTCGAAGATCAAACCAGAGAACTAGGAATCTTACCTAATGATCAGTTCGGCTTTAGATCAAAACACTCGATAGAGCTACAAGTCCTGAGGGTAGTAGACTTTGCGACCGAAGGCTTCAACCTCGGCTATCTTCTTAGACGTCTCCAAGGCATTCGACAGAGATTGGCATGACGAACTCCTGGCCAAAATGAGCAATTTTGGCTACACAAAACCGATGGTAAGATTAATCCAGTCTTTTCTAGCTGACAGGCGATGCCGATGCAGAGAAGGATGCAAACTATCAACAGTTCGACTACTGGAAGCAGGGGTCCCCCAAGGTGCAGTCCTTTCGCCACACCTCTTCTCATTATACACAGCAGACGTACCCAAGCCGGAGAACAACTTTAACAGGTTCGCGCTCTACGCGGACGAGACGGCCCTGCTGGCGAGATCAATGAGCCATGTGCATGTCACCAGATATTTGCAGCAACAGGCAGACAGATTAGAGGAATGGGCCAACCGATGGAAGATCAGTATAGACCCTGACAAGAGTCAGGCGATACTGTTCACCTGGAGACTGGCGCAATCGGAAGGCAAGAGATTCCGTGGACCAACAAAGCGAAATACTTGGGGGTCACCCTAGACAGGAAACTACCATTCAGGTCTCACGTACGGGAGAGAATCGGAATGGCGAGATCAGCCAGACAACGCCTAACACCAATAATAGGCCACAGAAGCAACATGGGGCCGAAAGTAAAGTTGCTGATGATAAGAACAGTTCTCATGCCCATAATACTGTATGCTTGCACTGCCTGGGGCCAGTGCACACTGACATACAGAACTCAGATTCAAAGCTTTATGAACGCGTGCGTAAGGGCCACCGTAAACGTTCCGAGGTATATGCCTAACAGATACATATACCGAGACCTAGACCTGAACACGCAATATGTGGACGTGTATATGAGGGAACACACAGAAAGCGTGTTCAATAGAGTCGGATCGCATAACAACCCAGCGCTGCGCGATCTATACGATGCGTTAAACAGGGATGACCCCAGATTCCGAGAGAGGGACAAATACAGAAGACCGACGAAGCAGAATCAACGACCACCCCTGAGAGTCGCTATCAGGCGGCTACGGTAAGTATAAAAATTCCTTAGCTAGACACTAATTCAGTCCAGTCCAGATACTCCAGGAATCATCAACACACGCGCGCGATGAACAGACACGAGTCTCCGGTTAGTTTTTGGGGGACCCTATGCAAAAATTCAGTTTGGAAAGTCATAATGAAACAATTCAACCAATTAGAAAGTTAAAAGCAACTAAAGGCTGACTTTCCACTAAAAGAGGTCAGATATGTCAATCTTGCGGAAGTGCCCATCAGTAGGATTGTGGACCGCTCCAAGAAAAGAGGTGGCGGGGGATCACTGTCTCTCTCTTATGGGTGATTGACAGTCCCCCGGTGCAGACCAAGCGAGCACTCTCTGGCGAAAGAAGAGCTTAGTTAACTTGTACGAACGTTCAGTCGAACGCTGCCGATGGTCCTGTCTCTTGGTTAGCCACACTAAGTAGATGTAAAGAGGCAACTCCGGGTTCGGTGAGCGGGAGAAAGCCCTGCGAAATCCTGTTGGTGTGGGGTGAGGGGCGGTACCCGCAAGGATTTTCCGAAAATCCACCCCTCCACACCCAATCGCATCCAACGCCAGGGTGCGTCTGGGGGGCCTAACCGGCCCCCCGGTGCGGTCGTAACTATGACTCTCTTAAGTGCCCATCAGTAGGATTGTGGACCGCTCCAAGAAAAGAGGTGGATAGAATGGTGTATTGATTTTCCCTCACAAAATTCATTTTGTGGGGCGAAGTTTTTACTCCAGGGCACTCAACCCGGGAGGGGGCATAGGGGCATGAGCAGGTTGAGTTCCACTCAGGGATGAGTGGGGGTGGATAGACGAAATTATAGCTCCTGTACACAGTAACCGTGTGGGAAAGATTTCATCTCAGGTCCCTCAACTTCGAGGAGGGGTTGAGGCAAAAATAAACAGTTATTGAAATGTTAAAGCGGCGCTGGAATGAATGTGTAGCTCTTGATGGAGCTCGAGACTTTTCAGCCCATGTGTCCTAATATTCATGATCTTCTCCACCGTTTCATTTGTCTGCAAAATTTTTTTGTGCAGTAAAAAGCCACCGTCTGTGACATGCACTATGTCGTCACAATCCGTTGGTCCACTCGTAAAGTAAACATTTTAAAAAATAGCTCAAAATTTGACATGATGATAAAAACATTTTTTTGTATTCGAGTTTTTTCGTTTCCAAAAAAAACTTGCAATAGTGATGTATATTTTTACAACATCAGGAAGTGAAGATTTCAAGGAACAAGAACCACACCAATTTTTTTTGAAGAAAAAATATTTTGATGTGAGAATTTTCGATTGAAAATCAGGGTGCTTTTTCGATATTGAATCAAAATAAGGGAAGAAATAGCTAGATAAGATATGAGTGTTGGGAGTAAGGTTTCATTTTGTGAGGGAAAAAATTTTCGAAACGAGCGTAGCGAGTTGAGCAATTTCACTAACATAATAAAACTTACTTTCAACACAATTATCATACAAAATGTTTTGTACCACTATCCTGTTTTCATAATAAAATAGATAAATTTAATTTGAATTGAAGGGGTTATATTTTTAGGAGTAATTTTTGGGAAAGAAAGTTTTTGGCTTTCTACTACTCC